TCTTTGCTAACTCTGTCTTTGACTAACTCTTTCTTTGACTAACTCTTTCCCTCACTAACTCTTTCTTTGACTAACTCTTTCCCTGACTAACTGTTTCTTTGACTAACTCTTTCTTTGACCCTTTGCTAACTCTTTCCCTCACTAACTCTTTCTTTGACTAACTCTTTCCCTGACTAACTCTTTCTTTGACTAACTCTTTCCCTGACTAACTGTTTCTTTGCTAACTCTTTCTTTGACTAACTCTTTCCCTGACATTCTAAAAGTCCGTAACACGGAAGTTTCTCCCCCTAAACTTCCTTTGATTACCCTCTGGTTATTTAACATAGCCATGGGAAATGGCCCATTTATAGATGGTTTACCCATAAAAAAATGGTGATTTTCCAGGGCTATGTTAAATAACCAGAGGGTATATCAATAAACGATCAACAAAGAAATTATCATGAAATATCAAACACTACTATCAATGATCAAACAGTACCTCATGATGTTTCATGAACTTTCAGCAACCAGAAAGAGTCAAATGTTACTATTACTTACTATCATGAAAGAGCCTGATGCTTTAGATGGTGCCGCAGTGACCTTCCCAGAGTTATAGAAACTGAGGTTTCCAATTGCTGGGTAACTCTTCGCCGATTGGGTGTCAGGCTATGCTGCAGAGTTCAACACCAGCCGTGTGCGGTGCCCAAATTGGCACAATGATTTTTGCTCAGCACTTGGATACTTGAAGAAGTAAGCTGTGTATAACAACACTACAGCCATTGGATTATTGCTGAAGCCACTTGGATTTGTGCTTTTCACCATGGTTTCGTGGCATAACTGTAGAAGCTGCGGAAATGGTGTGTTTCTTGATATTTCTGGTGAAACCATATGAGTTGGGAGGATCCTAAAAACCTAAAGTGACGGCTATAAATTGTTGATATGGAATTTGAATGAGTTAAATTCTAAACCTAATTAATCTATTCTAATCTCATGAAGTTAAAGGAATGACATGAGAAAAATGAGAACTAGCTAGAATCTAGAAATATCTGGCCAAATTTCAACCACACGGAGACCTCCATAGCACTCGAAGATCCAATGTGAGGTTCCGGGCTACCGAACTTGGGAGTACAAACCCAATTTGAAACCATAAAAATCGAGGAAATACAAACAAAATATGCACCTCAATTTCAGGGATGCAGCGAAATCACAAGTTTACACCCCGAAATATCATTAAATTGATGATGGAGCCCACCCCCATGAACATATAAGAGGCAAGTTCTATTCCTGATCCAATTTTCAAAGGTTCACGGTTGAATTTAGAGGTTCCAGCTTTTTCATAGCACGGTCTCCGCTACTTGTCCTGCAGTGTCACAGAGATGTATCCAAGGGCCGCAATCTACGATCCTAAGATGAATTAGATCCATCTCATCCACGTGGCAAGGGATCCAAAGTCACGGTGAGTTCGTAGCAACAAAAACAAAAACAAAAACATGTGATTGAATCATCACAATTGGTGGGATATCTACCCTCTGGTTATGTCAAAATAGCTATGGAATGGCCCATCTATTGATGATTTACCTACTAAACATGTTTATTTTGCAGAGGGTAACCTGACTATATGGATCGAAACCTGCTGTTAAGAAAGCTGGCACTTATCCTTGTTCACCATACATAGTTGAGAAACCATAGCTTTGGCGGTTTGGACATTTGGACATTTGGACATGTTCATCGTGATTTTCCCGTGGTGTATTTCTGAAGTGGGAGATACCCTCCAGAAAATTAACATAGACCCTGGCAGATAGGGGTTGGAAGACTAGTTTCCATTGAAAATTGGTGATTTACCAGAGGGTTCAATAACCAATCTGAAGCCTTGTATGAGGTGGGGAAACCCCACTTATGACAACATGTTCATCGGTGACCCAAATCACCAAGCCTCTGGCGTCTTTCAGCTGGCGTCTTTCCATGTGCGAACCGAAAAAACCCATGTGATTCCTTGGATTTTTCACAAGTTCTTTGTCTTAGGCAGGCATTTATGGAACTATATGGAAATTTGAGGTTAAATATATAGACGCCCTCAAGTAAAAGTTCACGGCCACCATGGCCCACCATGCCACCTACCAGTGTGATTCCAGATGTCAATACACGTCCTAGTTCCTGATACCAAAGAAGTATACACATTTAATTATGTTCAATGAGAGCTGGCAATTTAGCCCCCAAGGTATCTTTCACAATGACTCGTTTGGCCAATTATCACCATTCAAACACCTGAAAAAATATATAATCATGTTTCACATGATCAATATTCTACAAAACATTTTAGGATCCATTCTCCCACTCCCTGGGTCCCTATTCCACACTGGCTACAAGATCGGCATTATGAAATCACCGAGACGCCTTTCGGGATCCAGTCCCATGGATGATCGGAGTGGGTCACTACATCAACGGCGGATTCATTCGGGAGCCGGACCCGGCTGGCTGGAACATCCCCCAACGAAAACTAGAGGTGTTGGAACATCATCAAACCAAATGGCGGATTTTCAACTGATACATTTGATACATTTGATGAGGGTATGGAAATTTTGGGATATCACGAATTCTGGGAATTTCCAAGTATCGTGTTAAAATCCACTGACGTTGGATATTCATCTCCAGATGCTCCATGGTGCAATCGGAGAACATATGGCCTGGATGGAGCTTTTATCGGAGAGGGATCTGAAGGGAAGAAATATGTGTTGTGATGTGTTCCAACCGTTGATATATCCACCAGCATTCACTATAGTCAGATCTAGCTGTCGCAGCTTTTGCTGCTTTCCCTGTAGTAAAGCCCAAAATTGAGAAGAGGGGAAGCCTAAGTGTCTTTTTTTTTCCATAATGTGCTTTTTACGCAGGAAAAAACACTCTATTTGATATTTCGTGGGGCTTTTGGTTTCACTATGTCTTATTTAAATACTTATCTTGATGGCCCACAGGAGCCAATTGTTCCCATCCAACTGCACCAGCAGCTCCCTCGTTCCACCGATTCGTGCTTGTTGCCATGTCGCTGCACAGCCTAGGCGGTCAGCCTGAACAAAATCAGACCTGGCACCAAGCATGGCACGGGTTGCAGTTGGGTCAAAAAGACAGCAAAAGAAGTACGGGATGTGATGGGATGTGTACCTTAGATGATCTTGACCTGGTAATCTCAAGATTTCTGTAGCTTTCCTATGATTTTGGGGTTGCTATAAATCGATGCAACTGTGATACAGCCCACAAAAATAGCCAGCGTATGCCAGCGTGTTATCAGGGAACTGCCAAGGATGGAGTAGACTAGTAGATTATCCTTTGATATCTTTGATGATGTGCACTTTGTTTCAACATGTTTGTTTCAGTACAAGTGGAAGCACACTTCTATTTAAAACAGCCTTTTAGTAGATGGAATGTTTACCCAACTGGTTGGTGGTGCAATAACCATCTTGAAAATGATGGAGTTCGTTAACGGGAAGGATGACATCACATAATATATGAAATGGGCAATATTATGGTCATGTTTGAAACCACCAACCAGTTATCAATCACCATTCATCACCAGTATATCACCAGTATAATCACCATTAATCACCAGTAGATGAAATGTTTACCCAAGTATACTTGACGGTTTACAAAGAAGCTTATCACCAGGCAAAAATGTTTCACGTTCAAATCCTGGTGGCTTTTCTGGGAATATCCCGGGAAACATGGACGCCCCAAACGCCCGGGTAACGCCCCGTTTTCGTTGGTATCTCCAGTCACATGGGATTTCTTGGGTCATGGTAAAATCCAGATGCTTGGGACACATCCAAATATCACAGTTGGTTATACATCATTGATTCTCCAATATGTTCCATGTGATTGGCAAAAAATAATAATTCTTGAATCCTCCTTTTTCGGGACAACCCCAATCGATTTTCCGCTGAAACACCACGCAACAGCTACTCCCGCGGAGAGCTTTGTCTACCACTAGGCTGGGTGAGACTCAGGTACCGTGTTGTGCAACAGCGTGGTTTCCACCGGATGCGTTTTCGGATACAACCAAACACTGGGACATGCTGGTTGAACATCATCCTATCGCCACCCATGAACAAATTCAAAACACATATATACACTCACATATAGACTTTGAATATACATACATAGACAGTATATACATACATCACATATCATCATATCATTGTATATCATTTCATGCGGTGAAAGTACGGATAAAAAACCAACCAACAACGGAAAACAAGTACTAAAATTACCATTAAAACATATTAAAACACAATTATTATGGATACTTGGCGAGTCCAAGTGGGTTGTTCAGCAACATTCCATAGCAAATCATGTCTTAGGATTGTCAAAAGAAATGAACAATAATAGGGCAGTGGTCCTCACTGAAATTGGTGGAAATAGATTTCAATTGGTGTTTAAGGAGTAAATATCTGGTCAACCAAGTTATCACGTTATCAACCAACAACTTAATCATTGAACATATCAGTACTATATAGATATACACATTTTTTACATACATACACATCACCAACACTATACTTGCTGGGGTCATGATATGTGCACACACACTTGTCATATACAGGTCCGCTGCACAATTGCTGTGGATCTGCGCTTTGATTTTACGGTAACATCATCAAAGCCGCATGGGGGATGTTCCATTATCATTGAATTGATATCCAGCAAAATCACCAATCATGTTTTTGATTGTTTTTGTATATCCTCCAATGTCACCGTCTTCATCAGTTTTGGCAAACCACTTTTGAGCATCAGATCTTCACCACTGTTCCAAAGTTTTGTGCATCGTCATATCAGACATGATCTTACGAGATCCTCATCATTCCAGTGAAAACTACTTGAAAACAAAATCAAACAAAACAATCTCAACAAAACAACAATAAATTGATCATTTCATCAATGGCCATGATACCATATGATACCAATTTCTTCAAGATACCCTATTCCATCACCTATATGGCCTATATCTTTTCGCGAAAGTTCAGGGACTCCACGGATCATGGGAAGATCTCCGTCTGGTTTCGGCGATTTCGGTACGCGATCGCTGCATGGAGAACGGCGCCGTAGAAGGTATCGGGGTCCATGTCCTTGGCCTGAAACCATGGGGATTTCAGGAATTTCACCCGGCAAAAATGAGGATTTCAGATGGAGATTTCATATGGATTTAATACTGAAAAGTCTGAGGATTCCACGTGGAAGTTCACCTGTATCAAAAAATGGGAGGTGACCTTGGAAGATGTGGATTGATGATTGATTTTATGACGGGTAAAACTGTCAGTTTCTGGCACGGCTTAAAGCAATAGCTGTTGAACATGTGATGGATAGAAAAATCCTCAGGTGACAGGGTGAAACTAAACCGACTATTATGGGGATCAATGCAAAGTTCAGAAGTGTTCCTTGCATCATGGGCCGATATCCTGCCAAGTGGGCACAAAAACATCACTAAATAGTATATACTTTGAAGGTTTTGAGCACATCCAAAAATCCATCGCTAGTCTCAGATCTTTGGAACAGAGTGACATCTTTTAGCCATTTATTTTATGTTTCCAGCTCTGGGGTAAACATAGTAGTACATGAATGACTATCGAATAGAGGGTGTAGCAACCCGCAGATTTCAACCCTCAAAAAACTCTCAGCATTTGGGATCATGATCCCTATGGTGGAACGAAAATCATGAATTGCATTTTTTGTTCTCTCTTTTTGCTGGTTACTAGTTATGATCCACCACCTTCGTTCAATGATCCAATAGCTGACCTGGTGGCACGTGCCGCATTTTTGCTGCACGCAGCGCCGACCTGAAAAACAGTAACCGACGTCGGGTGGTGATAGGGGGCCATAAGGAGGCTACACTGGGGACATAGCGATAAAAATGGAGTTGATAGGATATAATTAATAGGAGATGCTCTTAAACATATGCTCTTTGGGTTTGTCTTACAATATGGCAACACATGGCAACACCAATTGCGAAGATTACACATAATCCCGCTTGAATACCATGTGTTTCCCTATTGGGAATATTACACCCGCCATTGGGTGTTAAAACTCCAAGAAAAACATAGAATATCTATGAATATCCGGAACATATTTTCCCCTGCATGACCCAAGACTCGTCTTGCACATGGGGTAGATTGGGCCATGGAGTTGGTTTTTGGATGGATCAACGTAGGTAAACGTCGCTGCAGCGAAGTCAATGACCATCCAAGAAGCATTTAAGGTATGGTAAGTATATTGTCATATTATCTATGTATATGTATTCTTTGATAACATCTATATATATATATATATATATATACTATATACGGATTAAACTTTATAATATCTGGTTGGTGGTATACCTACCCCTCTGAAAAATGATGGGATTCGTCAGTTGGGATGATGACATTCCCAACTGAATGGAAAGTCATAAAAATGTTCCAAACCACCACTTTGTCCACTTTGATCTGCGCACCGCCTTAGTTCTCGAAAGCAGTGCTTTGACTGTGGCTGATACGGGACAATGTCACACCGGAACAAGCAGGTGATCCAAAACCCTAGTTGACCGTGTAACGGGAACAGCACTTTATTCGAGAAAACGCCGGACAACGTTCTCCAGCCGTTCATTCGAAAACTGGAGCGCCATACACCTGGCATGCATACATATCATGTGGCTCTGTGGCCTACAGTGCTGAGACATCACGTCGAATTTAGCATGGCGGCAAATTTCACAGAACGGCAACTGTACAAAACAAAGTCCGGAGATGAACGAATGCAACTCCCAGGAACCAAGTTGTGTCTCACTCATGGCCCAAAAATCCCCACGGGACATGTTCGCAACAACACAACCAGCATCGCTTTGGAGACCCGAAGGGTTGGCAGTTTCCAAAACAAAATTGGTATCACAAAAGGCAGCCACAGGACCCGGGGGAAAGGCTTCCCCGACCCTGACAACACTGAAAGACACAAGAAGCACAACCATCTTCGTTTTGGCAGACGACCATACTCTCTCATAAGACAGTGCAGATGCTAATCCCATAATCAGGAAAACAAAGTCGGGCACCAGAGCCACCATAGGCCAGTAAACTGACAAAGTAGCAGTCCTGACACTGCACCAACCAGATGGCTCGCGCCCTCCCCATCATTCACCTTCCTCTCTCAGACGCATTGACACCACACCCCGAATGTGAGAGAGCTGGGTCTCCACCATAGCTTGAATACTATGAGTCTGCGTTTCAATCTGCCCATACAACTGCTGATCCTGAGATGGCAGCTGGGTTTGGAGGTAGTTCACACGCTGGGTCTCATGGTCAGAAACTTCCACCGATTGGCCATCCATCTGAGACAAACCACTGCAAGCATCAATCTGTTTGAACAAGTTCGCCCACGATGGCACAGCAGGATGGAGCACCATGGTGCTGGCTCCACAGGCAGTGGAAGGAACCAGGAACTGTCGCCCCACCACCGCATCAATCAGTGTCACTGAGTCTAGTCCACTGTACTTGACCAGGTTGCCAGTTGCTCGAGTCCGAAGCAAGTGACTTTCAAGGGACGAAACAAAGACCACAACGTCCAAGACCAGACAGATCTCCAGGGTCAGTGCCATGGCGAAAGCGAGGAACGTAACCCTCAACGCTCAGCTGGGACGGCCGCACCAGCTGGAAGGTGTTGAGCCCGTGGCTGTTCCAAACCACCAACCAGATATGTCTACATACTGAGGTGGCTGCTCCCATCCTTCATTGCATGAGACTGCGACCCCCCTAACTTCGCCCGCCAAGAAGCAGGAGAGGCCGTTGGCGCTGGTCACGCAGTTGTCCAAGCAATTCTGGCCACGACATAACAATGGCATATATGGATGTTTCCTAAAATTGGGGTACCCCCAAATCATCAATGTTAGTAGGATTTTGTAATTATAAACCATCCAGCTATTGGGGTACCCCCATTTTAGGACATCACCATATAATAACATCTTTGCATTGGTTGAAGGGAAAACCTTCACCGGAAACCCATGGTGGTTTTCACCATCAAACATGGCAAGGTTTTCCCTGTAAGATTTCCATTACACCAATCCATTGAATATACCATCTGGTTATTTAACATAGCCATGGAAAATGGCAATTTTTTCGAGGTTTACCTATTAAAAATGGTGATGTTCCATGGCTATGTTAAATAACCAAAGGGTAATAACATCTGGAATGATGGGCCTGGGATCATCTCATGGGATATACTTCATGTTAGAAAATCCCTGGGAATATTAACATAATCCCAATATGAACATAAACAAAAATAATATCATGGGAATTCATGTGATTATAATTCGAATTCTGAGATTTAACAAACAAAAATGGGGTATATAACATGATTATAATGGGATTTTAATGGGATATAACAAACTTACTATGATTAATTGGCTGTCAAAATATGTGCCATGGTCAAGGTACATTATATTAATAAGGGGTATGGTCATCCATACCATAATGGTAATCCTTACTATGGATATGTAAATCCACATTGATGATGTGATGGCAATAAAATCAATAGGAGTATACAAATCATTTTTTGACCATGACAATTTTTGAACAGGAAAAAACAAATAAGCATCAAATGACGTTAAAAATGATGATTAACAAATGACAAATGGATTTGAGAATTTGCCCTCTGGTAAACACACATTAAACATAGCTGTGTGTTTCTGTTTTAGAGGATAATCATCGAACTATATGGGCCATTTTCCATAGCTATGCTAAATTCACCACCAGGTAAAAGCTTCAATTTCTGTTGGTGTTTGCTTCATTAGTCCTCCAATTGTTTTATTTTGGTACACCACTTGTTCTTTGGGACCCCTTTTGTTGATGACTGAAGCACCATGACTGTTATTCATCCTACAGGAAAATATCACCATACACTCAACAGTTCCACAAGTTATAGACCAACAGGACCCCATCGTATATGCAATACCATGGGTTAATCTCATGTTCCACCATGCTTCAGCATCAAATCCCACCATTTCACAATTGTGGGTAGTAAAAAACAAATAGTTCAACATGTTTGTTGGCAAAATTCCGCATATTCACATGTTTTCATTTCTTTCTCCTGTATCCCAACGCTTGACATTGTTTTATGGTTTAATCAGCTTGGTCCCAATGTTTCAGTCCCATCTTGGGGTGCTCGTTTCGCCTTCATCGTGCAGTCAACTTTGTCACCTCGGCCCAAAAAGGGGATGAACATCCAGCATAAATCCATGTATATATATATATATATCATGTCTGATTATATATATATATATATCTATATATATGTGTGTAATGCATTTATGATCATTTATGATCATTTATGATCATTTATATATATATATATATGTAATTTTATGTAATGATGTAGATCTGCATGCATTTATGATCATTTATGCATGTGAGCAACATGATGTGCACCACCACCACCGCCACCACAACAACAACAAGAAGACCAATTCTGCTTGTTGATCATTGTGCAACAACACAACTTTTCCACGCACTAGTTCGGCTGACGAATTTCCAACAGCGGTTCCTGCTGTCTTCACCATTCCACGCCCCTCCAATCTAAAGACATTTCCTCTGTTTGGGTTTGTCACAATTTATGGCTATTGTAATGGAGAAAATCCGACAAATCATTTTCCATTTTCCAAATATACTATTTCCAAATCCAAATCCATTCTCCAAATCCATTTTCCAAATCCAAATATTATGGTTATGATCAATCATTGGATTTGGGGTATATCCCATTTTCAAACAAACTCATCTCTTGAATGTTGATGCACATGTTGAAACTGTTCTACCTTGACCACCAAGGTACCCAAAAATTGGGTTCAAAGCAATCATCAAAATCGTTGAAAGTACACCAACAAACACGGACTTTATAGATATACCGAATGACCTAAAGGCCTAAGCACACGACACCTCAAAATCGGAAACCTCTCACAAAGCTTCGTACAAAGCTCGTCGAGACACCAAAGCAACTGGCGCAACCAAATTGCATCCCTTCACGCCTCGAAAAGTCACAGTGCCATTACTTTGGGGCTGGGATTATTCTTATGGGATTTCATGGGGATATGGGATAGGGATTAACCAATAAACAATGGTTACAACTAGGTAGTGGGATATTCAAAAACTATGGATAAATATGCTACAATCATGGTGTTATAAATCCCAAAACTGGGGATATATCTGACATAACTGATATAACACCTACAAGTATGGTGAACATATGTAATGGAACTATATATTATATTAAATTTTAATGTATATATATATATGTTGATACACTCAAACTTTGCTCATCAACCACCAGGGTGCAGCTGGATCTATCGGTGATGCGATCTGACGATCTGGTGTTGGCGAAAGTTAGGAGGTCAACCACATCTCAGAGCTACCTAGTGACTTAGTGAAGAAAAACAAGATCATGTGGGCAACCCAATACTAAACCTACATAAACAACTCGAATTTGGAGATGGATTATTCAAATATATATATATATTTATATATATATATGGTCACCCATAAACATGTTGATTTTGAGGAACGTTTATGGAATTGAGTTTATCACACTACACAACAACAAGTGAATACTGTACATCTCAGGTTCTTCCTCTTGCCAGGATATCTGTGAAAGGATTCCCTACCAGTGACGACTGACAGCCCAAGCAGGGAAACAACGCCACATATTTTGTATGGTCTGCACCTGCCAACTGAACAATCCCTTCTGGAACATTTCTCTGCTAGTGCTTGGTTTATGCCTTTCAATGTCTCTTTGTTTTGCAGCTAAAAAAATCACATTTCTGCTGGTAAATATCCCAACCTTCGCAGCTGAACAATTCCCGTTCTTGTTGGTTAACTCCTCATTTTGATGATCGAATCACAATTTTTGCTGATTAGAATTTCAAAACTCCTTCCATTTTTATGATCAAATCACAATTTTTGATGATCGCATCACAATTCGTGGTCGACCACCAGCATGTTGTTCCTGAAATCCCACAAATCAGCTAGAACCCCTACATCTTTCATGGAAAAAACACCAAGAAATCCCTAGCCATTTTCCATGCCTTTATCTCTTCAAACATCTCAACCACAGGTCCAGGCCTCAAACAGCGAGTGACGCACTGCGCGCGCGGGGATCGCGAAGAGGCTTCGGCACCTTGGCGCCAAGGGGCCAAACATCCTAGACCCTCTGGGACTGTACCCATAAATATGATGGTTCCCACCTCCATAATAGCTTTGTACTTTTACCATTTTTGGCGGTATTTGAAGGGTCTGGGATGGGAAAGTTATTCCTCAAGATCGGTAACCAACAAGAGGATACAATAGGGATAGTTCAATAGGGATGTAATTGCATAGGCGACCAATAATATGGACAATATGGGGATATACGAATTTTACTACCCAAACCACTGGTTTTGCAATGGTCTTGGTGAAATTTGTCCATAAATAAATTCCTTCGAATTTAATGGATTTTGACAATGCACACATTGGTTTTTTATGGACGTTTATCAGCACAATTTGGAGATTACAAAAAAAACACCATTGTGAACACCAAGAGTTGGACATGTTCAACGTCCTTCAACACATGGGAATTTATTGATGGAACTTGAACTGTATTTCTATCATTCAAATGTCTCTAGTTTCAACAAGTTGTTTATCGTTTGACTTCACAGAATGCTCGGCCAACATTCGCCACAACGACACACCAAACGACGTAACTGGCGTGGCAAGTCTGCCGAGACACACTCAGTGCCACACTTCTTTAGTTTGATCTGATCCTGGCAAAATGCGTGGCACTTTGCAGCAAGAGTTACTGCGGTGATCTTCAACCATCAATGGGAGACAGCTGAAGAAACCACACCCAAACCCTTCTGCAAAGCCGGCAGCGTATTGTATCTTGAACTTAGGGATAGTTTATCTCAGTGGCAATGTTGAAACAGAAACAGACATCGTCCTCGAAGCAGAAACCCTGAGCTCTTGCAGCCT